AACACCGAACAAGAGCAAGGATGAGTCCTGGGTAAGATTTTAATTCCATTTCATTTTTCTTCCACAGTACAATTCCTGGCCTCACGTCTGGGATTATTTTACAATTAGTACTTGATCCCGGTTTTATTACTATTAAACTTATGAAAAATAAGTTAAGCATCAACTATCTAGCTATGCATTGTTTACACTCAGTGGTTATAACTAAAGCTGCAGCTATGGAACATCCTAGTACGTAAGCACTCTAATGAATGATCCATTTATTTATCAAGTACTTGGATAAATATATATTATACCAGCTGTTCCCAGCAGTGCACTCTATAATCAGATCCACACGCATTCTGAACATGTATAGGCTGAGGTGCCCTTTTACTTGGCCCATTTATTTATTGAAAATAAATGTGTACTTTGTCTTATATTAAGGTTGGAGGAGCCAAGTGAGAGAATTATTAATATTAATACATTTTATTTGTAACACACTTAATATTTCAGCAATCCCAAAGTGCTACAAGAGGGCAAGGTTCATAAGAAGCTAAAATTAATAAATATGAGAAGAGTTTATAGAACATACTTAGTAAAAGGCTTTCCTAAAAAGATAAGTCTTATGGTTCTTAACATTTAAACGCATCTACAATTTGTGGTGCTGTTGGGTGGATGGGTATGGTATTCCAGTCTTGGAGCAGCGGTTGAAAAGGCCCAATCCCTCATGCTACAGAACTTGGTTCTGGGGATTAAAAGTGTATCTGTTGGTGTAGACTAGAAATTACGATTTGTCAGGAAGATGAGTTCCTTTTAAGAATAGGGAGCTTGACCATGAACGCACTGATAAGAGGGTAGAGAAACTTTGTATTAAATTCTGCGTGAGACTGGGAGCCAATGAAGCTCTGTTCTGGATGTATTGCAGTCTCTGAAAGCTTTATCAAGAGATCCCGATGAGCACTACAGTAGTCCAGCCTGGCAGAGGCAAAAGTCTGATTTATACTTCTCCATCTGCGTTGGTACAATAACTGCAGCAGCTCTGCCTCACACTGCTACAAACATCCACATATAAAAAAGTTGGTGGGGATTATTCTTACGCTTGTAGAGTTTAGTCGTTCACAACCGTCACGTATTTTTCTGTACCACACTTGCTCGTGAGAATGCTACCTGCTAGTTTAGCATTAGCAATTCTGCTCGTAGTTTAACTCTTCATCCCAAACTTAAGAGTGCCAATTCTGCCTATTAGTTTTTGCTGGTTTGTCTATTGTCCTCCACAGCACCTAGATCACCATGTAGTGTGCCAGTAAAATGTGTTCAGACCGTGGAGCACACCTTTAACGAAGCTTCGAATCAGTAAAGCACTTTATTTTAGGGTACACAAAAGAAGTAGGTAATGGTCAGGCACCTAGTAGGTACAGATTTGGTCCTCAGAAGGTACTTGGGAAGAGGCTTCACTTTCCATCATCTCGAGATGGATGGATACTGACGACGAAGTGACAGACGAGTAAAATCAAGATGAAACAGAGATGTTAAATCACTGTGATGTTGCAAATTATCTGCATTCTTCATGAAGTTTACAAAAGAGAGTCCACAGGCACTACATTCATTTAGGATTCGTTCCTTATTGCGTTCATAGATAACTACCTGAAGTCCCTGAAAAAGACTGCTGGGTGTTTACCATTAAGTATTGGATAACTACCTATTAGACCCTGAAAAAAGACTGATGAGCGTTCTCACCAGTAACTACTGATTACCGTATTTTCCACACCATAAGGCTCACCTGATTATAGGGCGCACAGCCAATCAACCCCGATGTCCAGCGGCTGGAGTTCTTTAGTTAATCCATCCGGTATGAAGGTGAGTTCCGTGTTCATCCTCTTCACCTGGATTTTAACGGTGTCGGTGAGATGGGCCCGCATGGAGTCACAGATCAGCATGGCTGGAGAAGTGTGGAAGAAGCCGTCCTGTCTTTTAGTGTACACCTCCCGCAGCCGCCTTCATGTCCTCATCCATCCAGCCCTTTGGGTTCGCCTTGATGATCACGCCGGCGGGAAACTTTTCTTTGGGTAAAGTTTTCCGCTTGAAGATGATCATCGGCGGCAGCTTCTGGCCATCAGCCTGGCAGGTGAGCACGACGGTGAAGCAGGACTTCTCGTGGCCGGTCGTCCGCACAGACACCGTGCTGGTCCCCATTTTCTCCACGGTCCGGTTCACCAGGATGTCGAAGGTAAGCGGGACCTCGTCCATGTTGGTGATGTGCTGGGGCTGGATGTTTTTGTCTGCCATCTTCTTAGTGCCATAGGAGTGGAACAACTCTAGCTTCTCAGCGTAGTCGGCGGGTAGCTGCTGCGAGATGGTAGTTCTGGTGCAGATAGAAAGCGCTCACCTCTGCATGAAGCAAAAACACTAAGAAGGGCCTCCTATGAAGTCCGCAATATCCATCTCTCGTGCTAATGCTTTGAGACGAATGGAGATGGTGGAGACGCTTCTGCTCACTGCTCGCGAAGGGTGGGCGGTGCTACGGGCCGGCAGTGCTACGGGCCGGCTCTTTGTTTTCCTGCGGACGCAGGTGTGGCTGGCTTCACTTACGTCCTTAATACATGTATAAAAGGTGCATCCATATTAAAAGGCGCACTGCCGGTTCAGGGGAAGATCAAAGGTTTTTAATAGCGCCTTATGGTGCGGAAAGTATGGTAACTAACTATTCTTCCCTGCTGCATTACTCATTACCCCCTAAGTCATTCCTTAGTAACGAAGCACAAGTTTGCGTACCTTATTGTAAAGTGTTACCACCAAAACTTGTATCTCGATATCTTTTAGTTGAATTCTGATATACATTGAGAAGTTTGCTCCCTTCAAGCTGTCGTGAGAAATTATGTAAATAAATTCCTCAGCAAATCAAATGCATAAAAAAGTATTGATTTTTGTTAAACATTTCCCTTAGTGCCATTCTCTATTAGTCTGAGCTTTGGAAACACTGTGTCACGATGCTGCAGAGTTGAGTGACTGAAGTGAGGATCCAAACGCGGGTGAATAAGACAGGCAGGCTGGTGAGGAAGTTCAAAAGCTTTTAATGAGAAGCATGCGGACGCTGAAACAATGAACAGACAAGACACACAGGACTGAGAGGGTTTAAATACATGAGGAGATGGGACATTGAGTGATTGGGAGACGAGAGGCAGGTGGGAGCAGTTAACATGGACACAGGACTGAACAGAAACTGGGGAGACAAGACAGGTCGTGACACACTGGTACAGCTCTCTGTTAACACACATAGGTTTATAGTGCGACGTGAAAGTTTGGGCAGCCTTGTTAATCTTCATGATTTTTAAAAATGTTTTTGTTAAATATTTCATATAGGAAGCAAACAAACAGTGATACTCGAGGAGTGATAAAAGTTCATAGGATTTACAGAAAGTATGCAATACTTGTTCAAATAAAATTAGGCAGGTGCATACATTTAGGCACCACAAAAATGGAATTCAATATTTAGTTAATCCTCTTTTTGAAGAAATAACAGCCTCTAAGCGCATCCTATAGCTTCCAATGAGCGTCTGGATTCTGGTAGAAGGTATTTAGGACCATTTTTCTTTACAAAACATCTCTAGTTCAGGTTTGACGGCTTACAAGCAGTTTGAGTCTCTTTCCCGAGTATTTCTCTTATCAGATGGCACTATCTAGTGGCAGACAAGCATATCACACAAAGTATTTCTTCTTCGATTTTTTTAAATTGGCGACTTCACGTTTATAAATGTAGCCGACAAAAATAGATAAAACACGTTGTTTTACAAGTATTATTCTCATGTCATGTTGTGTTTTCATATATTTAGGGATGGGTACCTTTGACATTTGAATCGATCCGGTACTAATTCCCGGTACCTACGAGTCGATACCGGTACTTAACGGTACCAATTTTCGATACTTTTGAGTGTTTATTATTTTTGTTCTCTTTTATAATTAAATATATATTTTTCTCAATATATAACCATATTTGATAAATATCACGATAAATAACATACAAGTTTGTATTTTAACATCGTCCTTGTAGTTTTATAAGCTGATAGTTAAACTGAAGCAAACATCTTTACTGTGAACTAAATTTACTGTGTATCTTCATTCCTTTTGCCGTCCTTTTTCATTTGATTTTTCCTACTGGGAAAATAGAATTTCCGAGGAGAAAGCGAACGCACCATTAGCTGATAACAATGGTGGCATAGGAAGCTAACATATCAAGCTAACGTTATCTTTAACAGTTTATTTAGCTGCTGGAGCAGATTAAAACGATGATGCCTCAAACTTAGATCGTTGTCACTGGTTTTACCTTCACCCAATCACCCGTCGCATTTAGTAAAGTAAAGCCAAACTTTAGAGCGCATTCATGTTCTTCTAGTCGGAAATTCGGAGTTCCGAGGAGAAAGCGAACGCACCATTAGCGAAACGGAAGCTAACAAATCAAGGTAACGTTATCTTAAACATTTTATTTACCTACTGGAGCAGATTAAGATGAGGATGTCTCACTTAGATCGTTGTCTGTCGCTAGTTTCATCACCCAGTTACCCATCACATTTAGTGAAGTGGACCCAAGCTTTAGCGTGCGTTCTTTCTACCATGCTTGCTCTGTTTACAACGGGCTCGCAGGGACCGGCGACATAACGCTCTTGCGCATGCGCAACTGTCTTGGCAGTACCGAAACGAGGCACCGTTTGAAATGACGTGAATCGGTGTTCGGTCGGTGCTATGGAATTCGGTCGGTACCTTAAAAAGTACCGAATTCAGTACTCATCCCTACATATATTTATGTTTTAGAGACTTACTTGTCCCTGAAAAGTTCATCAACTCTGCATCAGTTGAGGTATTCCTGAAATTTGATGCACGTAAGCGGTCTAATGCTATTGGTTAGTTTTGGTTGGCGCTC